TAAATTTAATTAATAAATAATTATATATATATAAAAAATCAAAAAATTAAATGTTAGGTGTTACAAGTTATTAATAAGATGGCTTGATGTAGTATGGCTTACATTAAACTTTATATTATATATATATTATATACATTCTGTAAAATATTATACTAATAATTATCTGGTATGCTTATGAATTATACAGATATACTGAAAGAATATTGGGAAAGGTAGAGCAAAGGAGTTAGCAGCCGTTAAAGATAACGTCGTTCAAACAACCCAGAGAAAATGGCGGGACAAACGGAATAACTGGAACCAATAACTATTTTTCAAACTCTTTCTTCTCCCGTCTGTCTTCCTCTGTCAATCTCTTTGTCCCCTGTCTTAGGGTTTCCCTTTCTCTCTCCCTAAACCAGGAAAAAAAAAAATCTTCCCATGGGATACAAGAAAAAATAACTAAAAAGAAAAACAAAAGAGAAAAAAAAACTGAATCTATTGAGAAACCCATCCCATGGGAAGCTGCGTGTCGTCACAAGTAAAATCTTTCAACATATGGAAGAAACCCCATGGCCGCAGCAGCAGCAGTTGCAGCAGCGGGAGGGCCGCCTCCTCCTGCCATTCGGAGAAACAAGGAAACGCCTGTACTGCAGTGGCGGCTGTGGGGTCAGCTCGGCGGTGCGTGAAGGTCCTCCGGGAATCCGTGGGGCACAACATTTGGGAGAAATACAAAATGGGGAAGGAGCTGGGACGAGGGGAGTTCGGGATCACGCACCAATGCGTTGAGCTGAAGACGGGGGAGATTTTCGCCTGTAAGAAGATTTCAAAGGGGAAGTTGAGGACGGAGGTGGATGTGGATGATGTGAGGAGGGAGGTAGACATCATGAGACATATCCCTAAACATCCTAACATCGTCTCCTTCAAGGAGGCTTTCGAGGACCAAGAGGCGGTTTACCTTGTGATGGAGTTGTGTGAGGGTGGCGAACTTTTCGATCGAATAGTTTCTCGTGGACATTACACCGAGCGGGCGGCTGCTAAGGTTGCCGCCACCATTCTACAGATCGTCAAGGTATATTATATATATATTTGATATATGTAGTACACCATGAGAAATGGATTAGAGTTTTAATCTATTGCTGCATGGATGTATTACTTTTCATACATTTTGTGATACATGGTGAGAAATTGTTGGGGAAATTAATTTCAAAGCCTCGTATAATCACAACAAAATAAAAGAAAGAACTAAAAAAACATAAGTCTAATGTGGTTCAGTAGTATATTTATATTTATGAATAATTTTGATAAAAAAACTTTTCCAAATGATTAAAAGATACATCAACAATAAAATTATAAACCCTTATATAAAGAAATTACAATAATTTTCTTCCCACAAAACATTTCATGACATATAAAAATATTTTTCATGACACATACAAAATATTTTTCATAATAAATATAAATTTTTAAAAAAATATATAAAATTCTTATAGAATATAGATGCTACATCCCCAGAATCAAGACATATCAACATAAATAAATAGAGTTTTAATGATATTGGTTTATAAATTAAATTTTGCAGGTGTGCCATGAGCATGGAGTTATACACAGGGATCTAAAACCGGAGAATTTCCTCTTCTCAGATAAAAGCGAAAGCGGGCAACTAAAGGCCATTGATTTTGGACTGTCGATCTTTTTCAAACCAGGTATATTGAATAATGATATAAGAAATTAAGTTAATGGGTAGAAGGAATTAATTAAAAAAAATAATAATGGGTATATAACAGGGCAGCGTTTCAGTGACATTGTTGGGAGTCCGTATTACATGGCTCCAGAGGTTCTGAGACGTAACTATGGGCCAGAGGTTGATATATGGAGTGCGGGTGTTATTCTTTACATCTTGCTTTGTGGAGTTCCTCCTTTCTGGGCTGGTAATCTTATTATCAAACAAAGAATTTTTAATTATTAGTTTGTGTTCAATTAGAAATCTTTTGTGTTAATTGGCATTAAATTTCATGCAGATACGGAAGAAGGAATTGCTCATGCAATAGTTCGAGGTAATATAGATTTCGAGAGAGATTCCTGGCCAAAGGTATCCAAAGAAGCAAAAGATCTAGTCAAAACCATGCTGGATCCAAATCCTTTTAGCCGCATAACAGTTGAGGAAGTTCTGGGTATATAAATATCCGTATATACATATACGTCTAACATACATCGCCTCTTCATTGATGTATATATATATATATATGTTAAACTAATCTTTTTCAATTGCCAATTTTCATGTGTGAAGAGCATCCATGGATCCAAAATGCGAATCAGGCTCGTAATGTAAATCTTGGCGAAAATGTGAGAGCAAGGATAAAGCAGTTCTCCTTGATGAACAAGTTCAAGAAGAAAGTACTGAGAGTAAGTATTATGTGTGTATATATATATATATATAGGCTGGATTGATGAGTTGGTGGAGTTGAAGATGGCGATGGTGAATTTGACGGTTTGATTCAGGTGGTAGCAGATAACTTGCCGAATGAGGAAATAGCAGGGATTGTACAGATGTTCCATATGATGGACACAGACAAAAATGGAGATTTGACATTCGAGGAGCTTAGAGATGGGTTGCAGAAGATAGGGCAAGCTGTTCCTGATCCTGACGTCAAGATGTTAATGGATGCGGTGAGTTGTTATGTATATATATACTGAAAGTAGTGTTAATGTATATATGTTAATTAGTAGAGGTGGTTGGTGTATATAAAGGCGGACACAGACGGGAATGGCACATTGAGTTGTGAGGAGTTTGTAACAATGTCGATTCATCTAACAAGAATAGGATGCGATGAGCACTTGTCTGTAGCCTTTGGATTCTTTGACAAGAACAAAAGCGGCTACATTGAGTTGGAAGAGTTGAAGGAAGCTTTGATTACTGATGACAACGACCATAATGCCATCAATGATATCTTCTTTGATGTTGACTTGGACAAGGTAATATATATATATATACACACACACACACACACACACAAAAGGTTTGTGTATATATACATATATTTACATTCACTACACGGGATTATAACCTTAGAAGCTTCAAACTCCTAAACGCCTTAGTTCAAAAGGTTTTCTTTCTTTCTTTTTTTTTTTTCTTTGAAGCCACTTTCATAAAGGGGAAAATATACAATTTAATCTCTTAAATAGAGTCAATGTTATAAATTAAATTTAAATATTTTTTGCTTAAAAATTAATCTTTAAATTTTTAAAATTGTTTCAAAAGTATAACACTGTTAAAAGTTTGAATTGAAAAATCAAATGTGTTTTAGGACTTTTTGGAGGGAAAATTTGTTTCTTAATTACTTTGTAATCTATAATTTTTAATTAATATAAAATTATTTTTAACTAATGTTAAAATTTAACATATTAAATTAAGAATTTTTATGGTCATATTTCTTTTTTCTTCAAACAAGTATTAAGTAATAATTGATTTTTTTCCATCTAAATTTTTACAGTGTTAACATTTTTGAATTAATTTTAAAAGCTCATATGTTAATTTGTAATGAAATAATATGTAGAATTAAAATATAACTTTGACTATATTAAAAAATTAATTGAATATTTATTTTTTATAAAAAAAATATGATAAGTTAATAATTGAATACAGGATGGTCGAATAAGTTTCGACGAATTCAAAGCAATGATGAAGACAGGCATGGATTGGAAAATGGCATCGCGTCAATATTCGAGAGCTTTGTTAAATGCACTAAGCATCAAAATGTTTAAAGAGAATTCTATGGAAGTAGATGTCCCAAAATTCAGATCCATGGAATTCCCCATTACGAAGAACAAATCAAAGATGCTTGTAAACCCTAAGAACAAATTCAAATCCATGGAGCTTGGTGTCTCAAAGCGCAAATCCTCAGCACTCAGACCCTAATCATCATTACCATCTTCTTCTTCTTCTTCTTCTTCTTTAGCTCCTCATCCCAGTGCAACACTTGAAAATCTATTTGTTCAACATATACAAACTAATGCTATGACACTCTATTTCAGTGCTTCCCTAGAATTGCTTTACTTTTTCTCCTTTGTAAAACAAAATTAGGCCATGTGTATACATAGGTTAATTTTCAGGATTATTAACCAAAATAATTACCTTCTTCTTTGGAAATTGAATGTTCCCTCACCCATTTTTCATTTTAATTTTTAGAATTCATGTATAATTTCTACCTATATTTATTCATAAAAATGTGTACGGTAGAATGTTTCAGTGGAGTAGTAGAAGATAAATTAGAGAACCAACTAAAAAATCAAAATAATTATTAATTTTTTTTAAATTACTCAATTTTCTAATATTATTGTTAAAATATTATTATTTTTAAATACTTTTCTATAATATTTATACATAATATTTGTCATTCTAATAGAAGATCTTGAGTTTTACACTTTTTTTAAGGACTTATTCTCAATATTTTGATAATAATCATATTGATTAAACATAAATAACACTATCTAATATATATGTTAGAAAGTATTAAAAAATTGGAAGGCTTCTGAATGCATTAGATATATTTAGCATCTCTCTATCTAAGATTTGAGTGTTTTAATACCTAAGAATCCAAAAGTATGAAGAAGATACAAATTATTGAACTAAAACCAATTAGAATTCTCAAATTTAGAAAATGATGTTTGAGTCACATTTTACTACCATTCTAAGTGCTAACTCATAGATGGATATTAATATCTTTATTATTGCAAAAGAAAAGGATTTTGTGCGTTCCTAACAAAATACTTTTACATGGCAGTCTCTACGAACTGATCCATCTCTCTAATCCCTATGTCCAGTGGGTCTGGGCATATTAAATACAAAAAGAAATATGTGTGTGTGTGTGTAGGGGGTAGTTTTCTTTTTTAGATTTGGTGTGTGTTTATGTAGAATTAAAAATCTTGAACCGAGTAAAAAAAAATTATGGAAGGAGAGGCTAGACTTGACAAGGTAGAAGAACTTCATAATTCTTTTATTTTTTTAATTAGATCTTTAGGTATCATTAGCTATTTATTATTCAAGAATATTAAAGAATTATTTTTGCAATATTTATCTATAATGAAGGAGATATGTGGATATTCTATTATAGAGATAATTCGGATATTTTTTAATTGTAGAATTCGAATTTGTGATTAACTTGGAAAAGTTTGTACTCTTAATTTCTTGATAGTTAATTTGATTCGAAATTTTAGTCCATAGTCTTTTTCTTGTAAGTTGAAGGCTTTTTTATGTAAACTATTATATTAATGAGTTTTGTTTTTTATTTATTTATTTTTTATCGTGTAACCAAATTTTTTTAATTTGATTTAATTAAATTTATATAATTATTATCATCCAAAGCACAACAATAGTATCAGAGTTTGGCTATATATGATGTAAAA